TAATGATATTTACGAACAAGATGTATATTTTTGTATATTTTTATATTATTGTTCATTTAATACAAGCCAAAGAAATAATTTTATATTTATTATTAAAATTTATTTCAGGGACAAGCTGTACTGGAACATTTTACCAAAATAGATAAAGGACGGTATGAAGGAAAATTTAAATGTAATTATTGCAATCGTAGATTTATCGACAATATGTCTGGATTAAGAATGCATTGTTTAAAACACGGAATTAATTTTGTCAATTCTGAACAACAAAATACAGAAATAAATGTGAGCAAATTAAAACTACAGTATTTGCTCTAATTGAATGACTCCTCTATTTGAATGACCCTTCTAATTGTTCGGTCATTCTAATTGAAGGTCTACCGAAATCGAGAATTAGACTTTTATCAGTGATTCCTGTACCGATTCCAGAAATTTTTGAAAAATTCGGTAATTTTCTGCTTCATTGGTCCCTAGAAAAAAAGAAAGAGAAAAGTTCTTTTGTGATATTTTTAAGGTTTTGCTGGTAGGTAATCGCTTAAAATTTGCTTATTTTGTACTCAGGACCCGAATTCGACAATATGGAATTCGTTCTGAAATTAAAAATTTCAAATTTTATGTCAAATCCGATTAGACTCTTCGAGCTAAGTCGAATGGTATCAAAATTATTGTTTCGGCAACATTAGACGAAGTTCTGATTAAATAAATAGACGCTTGGTTAGACTACAATCTACAAAATAGACACCATAACTTCGTCTAAAGTTGTAGACATGATAATTTCGGTACCAATTGACTTGCTCGAAGAGACAAGTCAGATTATCCCTAGATTTTAATTTCGATGTTTTACCCCGACTTCGATCTGGTAATATTTAATTATGAATTTATAAATAGGAACATAAGTCATTAGAGGAGATGTATAGCGAACTTTTTGGGCCTGATCACAATGAAGGTATGTTTGTATAATTATAATTAGAGACCGGACTAATTTAAATCCTCGAAAACATTTCACGATATTTTTCGGTTTAAAAAATATTTAGTTTACATATCATGAGAAATAGAATATTGACCAACCCCTTCTGCCGATTTGCAATGGATAGTTAAAGGGATTTTATCCCAAAAGAGAGTTGAGATATAGAGCCCCACCATCTATTAGAACTCCACCCTCAAATACAGCCAACCATGGAGGATAGTTGAAAAATAGAGCCACATGGTGCTTTAATATAGGAAATACGGTATATAATTATTTTAAAAAGATGTTGTGCCTGCATCACAGGGCTATGGGCATCATGATCAATTTTTGACCGCTGGTAATAAAACAATTCACGAAAAATTTAAGTTTATAATATAAATTAACAGCTGAATATGAACATGAAACACAAAAGGCCATTGAAGAATCTGTTCGTGCAATGCCTCGAGGTCGAGGAGGTCCAGTAATACGAGGTATAAAAAATAAATAATTTTATGTAAAATAATTAAGGGTAATTTTAATTTAGAAATTATCTAGTCATAAATAATTATGAAAAATATTTTAGATCGAGGAGAACATCTAGAAGAGGAAAAGAGAAAGTAATTGAAGCTTCAAGTGATTCTGATTGAAGGTTATTTGAATTTAAATGAAAAACAAAGGATTTTATATGAGTTTAAATTTTAGGTATTTAACAAAGGGGGATTATAGGGCGAAATGACACTTGCAGCAGTCATTTTCAGCCTATTCCTACCTTAAAGGTATACATTGAATTTTTGAGTGAACAACCGCAATTATCTGTCCTATAGTAAAAATATCACAATATATCGGTTAGCAAAAGTTTAACCACCGGGCAGTATTCGAATCTGCGACCTACTCGTAGTTATTGCTAGGCGCTTTCACTCACACACAACATTCAAGAACTCTACCACTGATAAATGAGCCACCGGTGAACAACATATAAATTTCCAAACATTGGCTGCAAGCGTCGCGCCCTTTTTAAATGGGTAGTTAAAAATGAACATTCAATTTTTTATATTTAAATTTGGGATTTTAAGCATAAATTTATTTTTTTATTTGGTTAGTATGTTCTTATAAATATACTTTTGTTAATATAATTAGTTGAAATGAATTAGAGTAAAAAACTTAGAAATGAAACACTTAAGTATATGATAATTTTGTTTTTAAAGCTACTAAATATAGTCCGTCCAAGATTATAACCGGACTCCTATTTTTCTCAATCACAGTACCGAACTATTGATTCAAAAAAAACAGAGCTCGTACCTATGGCCATAAAGAAAAGTTAACATAACTTTAAGTCTGATATTTTTTCCACCTGTGGAAGGAAAGAAGGGGGGGGGGGGGGGTACGAAGTTCAATTTTACCGACGTTTTCTTTTTTAAGGAAGAGAAAGAGTTTGCAAAAGTTTAGCCACCGGGCAGGATTCGAAGGGTACACCCCATTATACCGCCGCCCAATATACCGCCGCCCAGTATACCGCGCCCATTATACCGCCGCCCAGTATACCGCGAGCCCAGTATACCGCGGGCCCATTATACCGCCGCCCATTATACCGCCGCAAAAATTTTTATTATCTTGGCGGGGGATGTAAAATAGTGCCGGGGGATGTTGTTCCAATGACGGGGGATGTTGACCCAATGACGGGGGATGTTAACAAGCGACGGGGGATGTTGGCCCGTCAACGGGGGTCATTGAAACAACATTCCCCGTCACTATTTAACATCCCCCGCCAAGATAATAAAAAAATTTTGCGGCGGTATAATGGGCGGCGGTATACTGGGCGGCGGTATAATGGGCCCGCGGTATACTGGGCTCGCGGTATACTGGGCGGCGGTATAATGGGCGCGGTATACTGGGCGGCGGTATATTGGGCGGCGGTATAGTGGCCTGCTCCCGGATTCGAACCTGCGACCACCTGCTAGTTGTTGCTCTGTGCTTTCGCTCACCATATGCAGGAGCAATCTTTTTAATAACAAAAATCCTTCAGAAATGACCGAAATATTAAATTCCATAATAACCCAATCAATTAAAAAATTCATCCCGTAAAAAAAATAAATAAAATTATTAAAATAATTTATAAATAAATAATAAAAAAACAAATTGAATAAATAGTAAAACAAAAACTGACGTGAGATCAAAAAAATTTTCTTGCATCACCTCCAACAATGATTCTTTAAATAAAATGATTTTTAAAATTAAATTAATTGTCTAGAAATTTATGAAAATATTTATGACTAATTGGTACTTATCGGTTATCTCCCCCACATTTCCTTCTCTTCTATTTCATTTCTCCAATGACATTGAAAATAGAGGTAAGGTGATTAAGGTACCGGCTGTCGAAAGCAGAAATTCATTTAATAATAAACAATAAGTTTTATTTATTTAGGGTAGAGAAAGGTTTTTAGTGAAACATAATGAATGATTGAAATCCGAATAAAGGGAAAAATATACTAAGTTTTATAGAAAGTCACTTAGTGCCACTAACGGCGATCACTTTCCTATTCTCAAGCTTATTCATCGCCACTAACGGCGGAAATATTATTTTAGCGCTAATGAAAGAGAACTTATCAAAGGAAAAGAAAAAAGATTAAGTCTTAAGAAATTAGTTTCGGGAATTCCCGATTTCTGGAAATCAGGAGACAGGTTTGCAGGATCCCTGGTATAGATGGTAAAATGAGCATTATTTGCCTTTGATAATTTTGTGAAGTAGAAAATAAAATAAAAGAAAATGTGGGGATATAACCGATAAGTACCTAATAATTTCCTCAAAACAAAGAATTAAAAATCTCTAGTAAATTAATTGCCAGAAAATCTTTTTAAAAAATCTAAAAACCTTAAATTCCTCACTCAAAACACAATAATTGTTTGCCATTTCACTACCCTTTTCAAACAATTGAAAATTAAATTCATTTGAGTTTGGTAGTCTTTCGGCAACTAGAATATCCTCTTCCATTCCCTCATCCAAATAACTGAGAAAAAATAAATGAAGAATTTTAATTTTGAGGGAAACCTTTTAATTGTTTGAAGAAATAAATAAAGAAAAGCAAAACAACAGGCAGAATTTAGATTTTCTCGAGAAAAATATTTAAAAAGAGAATTTACTTCAATTAATTCAACTCTATTTAATTGAACTAAAAGAATTATTTTAATTTAAAAAATTTTTTTAAAAACGATTTTCGTGTAGGCCAATCACTAAATGTTTAATACTGGCCAAATAGGATTGAATCCACCATTTTAGAGCTATAAATGACAAAAAGAATAAATATTAGGGATTTGTAGAAGGTGGTTTCAAATGTGATTGAAATTAGATTAAAGCGAAAAGGTAGACTGACTCAATCCTGATATACTAAATATCGTGTTGTACTAACTCAAGGAAAAGACAAGTCAAGGAACGACCAACTCAAGGAATATTTTGAAAAATCTGAATATTTTTAAAAAATTAGATTTAAAAAAGATTGAAATACTTTAAAAAACAAAATTTAAAAATAAATTCTGAAAAATTTAGATTTTTAAAAAAATACCATGAGTGGTCGTTCCTTGACCTTTTCGCTTTAATCTAATTTCAATTACATTTGAAACCACCTTCTGCACATCCCTAATATTTATTTTTTTGTCATTTATAGCCCTAAAATGGTGGATTCAATCTTATTTGGCCGGTATTAAACATTTAGTGATTGACCTACATGAAAATCGTTTTTAAAAATTTTTAAAATTAAAATAATAATTCTTTTAGTTCAATTATCAAATTTAAGTCTCTTAAATAGAAATCTATTGAGTTATCCTATAATGAAGTTCATGTCAGTTACATCTTTTAAAAAATTTTCTTAAAAAATCCTACCAAAATTCTTCAAAATTTTTATTATAAAAATTGTTGTAATATTTTTTTGTAATAAATAAAATTAAAATACTATAGGTAATTATTTGCAATTGTCTTATTTTTAAACAAACAATATTCCTTCCCTTCCCTCTCAATCAAAGGCACACACTTCGTTGTCGAATAAAAAAAATTAATTTAAAAAAATTATGATGGCGGAGTAGATTTTTGTTGAGGTTGTCCTAAAGTTGCAGCAGGACTTCCACTTAAAAGTGCAGTAAATTCATCAATACAAGCTATAATTTGATTGTTTTTATCCAAATATGAAAGCGTTTCTTCTGGCAATATTCGACGAACAGAGTCGCTAAAAAAAAATTTTTTTTTTTGAAATTTTTAGATTGAAAAATATTAAAACAAGGGAGCATTATCCACTGTGTACAAAAATTTGGTATTATTTTTGGTACTATTCGATAGAGGACCCTCGACTTGCTATTGGGAAGTGTCCTTATTTTTCGTCCAAAAGTGACTTTAAGGACGAGTTATGGCTGGTCAAACTTTCGAATTTTGGGAGCGTTTTTGTTATACGGAAGAAAGGAGAAAACCAAAATTCTTTTGTACACACTAGACGATGTTCCCTCGCAAGAAAAAATTTCACAAAAAAAAATTAAAAAAAAAGTACCCAGGTATTAACGGCTTCCTTTCCAAACGGCATTTTCGAATTTCTACAAAAGCTTTACGAATTAGACTTGCATAAATACATTTTGACATAAATTGTTCCAAATTTGCATTCTGTTCAGGATGAATATCCATAAAATTGTAAAGGTCCTCGACAGCCTTGGAAAAATTTTTTTTTAAATTTTTTAAGAACAAAAAGAAACCCCAGAAAAAATATCATCGTCAATACGAGCAAATAACTTTTCCATTTCTTCCATAAATGGCGGTGTTCCATCCGGAGTTTTTTCATCTCCTGTAGTATTACGTTTACCAACAGCACGGACACATCGTTTTACATAAAGAACAATATGTGAATTTTCTGGTAGATGGTCGAGGTAATTAAGTATCTTTTTAAAAAAATTGTTAAAAAAAATTAAAAATAAACCGAATATTTCTTTTTTACAACAATTCGTTGAACACAAATAAAAAGTAATTTTGAAGTCTCTTTAACAGAAGCATCTGAATCATGTCCCTCATTTGTTGTAATATAAAATCGTGTAATGTAAGTATTTATATGTTCCAATAATGTGGGAATATCAATCTGAAAAAATAAAAAGGTAAAGAATAAAATTTGGGGTCGGAACTAGTATTATTCACGGTACCGTATTACGGCGGTATTTTTCGGTAATACCGCAGTATTTTTACCGAAATACCGATACCGAATACGGTACCGAACAATTTTAAAAAAATCGGTATTTTTTCGGTATCGGTATTTTACTGAAAATACCGATACCGAAAAAACGCGTTTGAATAACACTAGTCGGAACCAAGGGCGTATCCAGGGGGTCGGTTTCGGGGGGGGGGGGGGCTAACACTGGGTGGGCGCAAAAATTTTTGGCGTTTACCTTGGCGCTCTGGACGCAACTTTTTTTGTACATAAAAATTCACTTATCCAGCGCCGCAGGCGAAAATTTTTTGAATTTTGGAAGACCGTAGGCAAAAAAATTCACTTATTCAGCGCCGCAGGCGAAAATTTTTTGGAATTTGGAGCCCAAGAAGCCAGATTTCTTCTTTTTTTAGCGCCGCAGGCGAAAATTTTCGACCATCCTTCTCCTAATTTTTCCCCCTTTCCCCCATTTCGGGGGGGGGGGGGGCTCTAGCCCCCCCCCTGGATACGCCCTTGGTCGGAACGCCAAAGTTTTCGAAACGTCAAAGAAATTTGGAAGAAATTTTGGAAGAAAATTTCGGATCCTATCCAGATTTTTCCCAACTTATAACTTCCCTTTACACCCCCAATTATAGCCCAGTGAAATCGACCACTGGTCTTGGCGTTGCGTCTTTTAATTAAAAAGGTTCAGGGACATCTCGATGAACAAGTCTTCTCTGGCGTGTAAAATTAACTCGGCAATAAAATTAGAAAAGGTGACAAAGTCAGTGTGGGTGTACCAAATGAACGCACTTATCGGGAAAAAATTTTTATTAGAAAATTCACAAACCATATCAACAATTGCTGGATCTGTAAGAGTTTCAGTTCGTTTAATCATACATTTACGAAGTAATTCCAAAATCTTTCCTTTAGGTTCAGCTGCTTGGTATTTCATAATTAACTTCATCAAAGCCAAAAAACAAACACTTGGATGAGTAAATTCACAAAGACGAATAACAACAACATTTAATGAACGAAAAACCTGAAAAAATTTAAGTTTTTGAACAAAAAAAGTAATTAAATTAGAGCAATCCAAGACTATTAGTCTTGACTCAAGCTTTTTTGTGCTTTTGAAAACTTAATGAACTTTTCAAAAATTTGTCCTATTGAACCAAACAAGTGTCTCGAATCTTATTAATGTTTGGTTTTCAAGTCTTTGGTCTTGAACCAAATCGTGGACACGAGTCTAGAAAACATCCACTCTTAAATATCTTTACAAAATATTATTCAAAATATAAACCTGATCTTTAAATCCAGAAAGTCGTTGATCACATACTAACGACAAAATTGCTTCTATAAATCCACGTAAAGTATCAGCACTAATTCTTTTCATTATATGAGTTTCATTTGTTAACTTAAAAAATATTTTTTAATAAAAAAATTTAAGAAGAAAAAAACCGTAGAAAGAAAATTACAAATCGAACGCAAAAATTCATTTAGATCATTCTCTTTAGAAAAATTTTGTTCGTCTCGGTTTGATTCTTTACCAGATTCTAGTTGTTCAAGATGTTGACTTCGAATATGAAAAACTTGTGTGACAATCTAAAAAAGTACAAGATTCATAAAAAATTTTTAAAGTTTTAAACCATTTTTAAAATAAGCTCTGATCTATCAATTATATACTGGCGATTATTTGGATCATTCAATAAATGCAACAACTAAAAAATTTTTTATTTATGAATTTAAAAAAAGATTTAAAATAAGGAATTGAATTGTGGAGCCCCTTAAAATAAAATTTGTTCCCTTTTTACATCGTTTGGTTAAGTGTAATTTAGAAAAAATCTGGCGGGTATGGATAAACCAGAGGTCTGTGGTTCGAGTCCGCTTGTTGTAAACTTTCTTGTTTTTGCTTTTTAAATAGCTATATTTGTAAAATAAACAAATATAAGGTATTTTCGAGCTATTGGAATTTTTATCGAACCTTAATGTGAAAAAAGAAAAAATTAAACCTGCGCAATAGCTTCATCAGCAATGCTTAATTGTAAACAAGAGACATTATGAACAGCTCGATCAATATATTCAGTACTTTCTAGCGAAGAAATAGAAGATACAGATTCACTACGTCGGGAGAATGTGCTTACAGGGCGAATTACAGGCTTCTAAAAATTTAAATTAAAAATTTCAAAAATTAAAAAAAAATATATACAATTGGTTGTAAATCTTGTTGATCAATACTACTTACACTTGGCTGAACATTTCGATTTGCCAAAACACCTCGTTCTGGTTGCCCCACATCATTTTTAGTAAATGTCGAGTTTAAACTGGTGGATTGATTTGATCCTCCAGAATTAACCACTAGAGTCCTTCCAGCGTCGTCAAAATCATTTTGAAAGAATTTAGGATCCAATTGAAAACGACCACCAGTCTTTAAAAAATTAAAGAAAATTCAAATTAAATAAAAAAGAAAGTTTAACCTGATTCAATGCCGAACTTAAAGCAGCATGTGAATGAGCAGAAGAAAGACCCGTAGCTGTAACGTTATGTGAACGACGAGGAGCACGAACATTAGTGTTGTTATTATCATCTGCTCCAGCTAACATCATTGAGTTATTTCCGGGTAAAGCCAAGTCCAAAGGGCGTCGAGGTCTTTAAAAAAGGACATTTTAATAAATTAAAAATAGTAAAAAAACCCGCTCGCAGAACGCGCTCTAATTGTTGAATTTGGTTGTGAACTCGAATTTTGCATTCTAGAGTTGAGACGGCTAGTAGACATATCACGAGTTGTTTGTGGACGATTTACAGATTTTGGATCAAATGCTCCTGTCCGCTTAATTCGTTCATCAAGCATTGCGCGTTCTTTTTCCCCAAGCTGTCCAATTAAAGAGAAAATTTTGTCTCGATCACAACCCATTCCTCGATAAACAGTAATTATAGCATTCAGTGCCGCGTTACGTACAGCAGCATCTCTTTCAGAAATACAAGCACCAAAAGTACGCATAGTTATTTGTGGTGTTGTTGTTATTGAAAGACCCATGATCTTTAAAAAAATTAATTCAAAAATATATTAGTAGTAAGAAGCGGGGTTATTCACTCTAAACGCAACACGAGCCGGAACAGAAAAGCCGAAGTTCCTAGACATTTAACCGGAATTGTAAACTAGTAGGTCGAAAATTGGACCCAAAATCGCCTAAGGATGTCCCTGACTGATTTGGGCTTTAAAGATAAATCCCCTGAGGATGCCGTTACCAGTCAATAAATGAAAGTGAACAAACTTATTGAAGTAAGAACCAAAACAAACCTCTATTAATGAATCAGCAATTACCAATCCCTCAGCTTTTTGTCTCGAATTTTTAGTTTTTAAACTATCAAGAATAAGTGGAAAAATTTTTGACGGGACAGAAATTGAATTGAGTACATGTACAATTTTACGAACTTGATTTCTAATTAAATCTTTTGAATCACCACACTAAAAATTTTTTTTAATTTACAAAAATAAAAATTAAAAAGAAAACCTTCAAAAGTAAATAAGGCAAAAAAGATTGCATTTCCAAATCATTCAAACCTTCATTCATTGCTTCCATTTGTGTAAATACAGCAAGTATAAATTCTAATACCTTGATTAAAACTGAAGGGTTTGTATCAAAGAAACGCAAAGTTGACCATTTGAGAAGGAGATCAATATTGTTTATAATACATTCTGGTGAAGCTGCATGAACCTACATAAAAGGGTTCCGTGACTTTTGCGCCGTGAACATTTGCGCCGCGACTTTTGCGCCGCGAATTTTGCGCCGCGACTTTTGCGCCGCGAATTTTGCGCCGCGACTTTTGCGCCGAGTGACTTTTGCGCCGGGGGACTTTTGCACCGCGACTTTTGCGCCGGGCGACTTTTGCACCGCGACTTTTGCGCCGGGCGACTTTTGCACCGCGACTTTTGCGCCGGACGACTTTTGCGCCGCTATCATTAATAATTATGAAAAACTACAGCCGGACCTCACTATAGAAGATGTAGGATAGTTGTGGATCTTCGGATATGAAGAAAATTTTCGGCTATCCGGACTTTTTCAAATCCGGATATCTGGATCCGACAACCCTACACTATAGTGCACCCTCTTCTGGCAAAAAATCATGCCTGAATAGGGGTAGCAGACCAAATATCCTGATCCGAAAAAGTCAAGTTCTTTGAAGATGACCCCTCTAGGGGGTCGGTTTATTATAGAAGGCTATTGTACTTCCCGAAATATTGTACTTCCTAAAATTCCTTCAGCTCCTGGATACCATTTTTTAATGAGTACACTATAATTAGGTCCGACTGTAGGTATTATTTTTTTTAAATTATGGCGGCGCAATTGTTGCGGCGCATAAGTCGCTCGGCGCATAAGTCGCGGCGTATAAGTCGCGGCGCAAAAGTCGCGGCGCAAATGTTCTCGGCGCAAAAGTCGTGATACCCATAAAAGGACAAAAATAAAGTTGAAAATGATTACAGGCCCTAAAAGAGTCAACATTGTTATAAGATACACTCTGGGGAATTTTTTTCATCGATAAATTCCACAACCGTCTGCTTAAACTTCCGATATTCCTACAAATTCTACTTAATTCCCCGATATCCCTTAAACACCTGTTATCCTTCCAAACCCCTTATATCGCTTAAAAAACGTCAATAACGAATTCTGCAACACAATAAATCCAACCCACAAAAATCCTAAACTGATGTGAGGCAAGGGCGTATCCAGGGGGGCTGGGGGGGGCTAGAGCCCCCCCCCCCCGAAATGGGGGAAAGGGGGAAAAAATTAGGAGAAGGATGGTCGAAAAAGTGAAATTTTTTCGCCTACAACCCTCAAATTTAAAAAAATTTTCGCCTGCGGCGCTGAAAATATAAAAAGTTATGTACAAAAAAATTTGCCGTAGGAACGCCAAGGTAAACGCCAAAAATTTTTGCGCCCACCCAGTGTTAGCCCCCCCCCCCCGAAACCGACCCCCTGGATACGCCCTTGATGTGAGGTGTATCTAGCATTGAGGGTATCTTATAAAGAGGCTCGCTTGAAAAAACAAAAATTTCACACAAACCTCATTAAGATATTCAATAGCTTTAATTTGTTGTTTAAAATCCTTATTAAACAACTGTCCAGTCAACGGAGGTTTTGTCACAGAAGTCAAGGAATTAGTTAATTGTTCTAAATGTTCTGCCGTAGGTGTGTCAAAGTTCCATTTTAAAGTCTATAGAAAAATTTTCAAAATTTAAAAACAAATAAAATATTAAAACAACCTTAAGAGCCTTTTCCTCTTTAAGTCGCAAAGCCCTATCACTTTTAAATAATAACAAAAATTCAGGTTCCAAAACTTCAACTTTTGGCTCAACTTTGGGCTGTTCAGGTTTCTGTTGTTGTTTAGAATTTTTAACAGCTTTCTTCTGGTTGGGTTGTTGAACTTGAGTAGAGGCATCATCTTCAGACTGTAAAATATAAAAAAATCAGATAGAACCTAAAACTATCCACGACTGGATAATCTTTGCCTGTAGCGAATCAAAGGAATTTCATTGACTTTTGAGCCGCATAGGCAAAAATTACCCGAACGTAAACAATCCTCATAGAAAATTTAGTAATATACAAAAAACACAAAAATATAAACCAAAAAAAGGAAAAAAATATATTTACATTCTCAACAGAATCAGGAACAGATTCGGGTTTATTGTTAGAAGCAGCAGCAGTTGTCGGTTTAGTAGTATTGTTCTGCACTTTAGCTTTGTTTTCATCAGCCTTTTTGACATTAGGAGGTGGTGGTGCTGCAACGACAGACTTTACAGACTACACAAAACAAAATTACACAAATTATTAAAAGTCAAGAAAAATAAAACCTCAATTTTGGTACTAGGACCTTCAGAAATGGCCTTTTCACGATATTCAGCAATCTAAAAAACTATTGAAAATAAAAATCATATTTAAATAAACCTTTGACATTTTTGTGGAATCCTTAACAATTTCAGCACCTAGGAAAACTGCAAGTGCACTTTCACCGATACATTTTTGTATAGCACCCAATGCAGCACAAGAAGCATCACGAACTTCTGGATCGGAGTCAGAGGCGTGCTAGAGATTGAAATTAATGCTGAAAATTTTTTAAGGAGAATACTTACATTAGTCAATGACGCAACCAAATCCTTTAAAAGCCCTTTAGGAATATCCTTGCTGTTAAGCGACCGAAATGTTCTGTAGATGAAATGATCAAGTTGAGATTTCTGGCTTGGATTGGGCTTTTTAGCTGCTTCCAAAATACTAGCTGAGAGGTTGTTTAAAGTCTAAATAAAAAATAAGCCGATAAAAGCCTTGGAATTTTTTAAAATTCTATTCCTCATGAACAAATCTCGTGGCCCAACTTAACGTCCATCTGGCATAAAAATAAGACAGAGAAAAGGACAAGTGGACCGGATTCTGAACTTGCTCCTAAGTCTGAAAACCAGTCATTTTTAACAATCTATAGTAAAGTGGGCACGGTAAGTTTGACCTCCTCCCATAAAATCTAAATAATAACCGTGGTAGCAAAAACAGCGTCAATTAATTCAATCAAAGGATCACGAAGATGAGGCTTCTTCTCTTTGAATTTGTCAAATATAATTGGAGATAATGAAGCTGTATGAGGTCCAAATTTGTTGCGTAATCCTTTAGCCATTCCAGTAAGACATTTAGCAGCAACAGCAGCACAATTAATATTTGCGTCAGATTTAAGAACCTAAAGAATAAAAATATTATCTTCGGAAAAAGAGCAAATCTTGGAAAAAGGGGGAGAATCATGAAAAAATATAAATAAAAAAATTCAAAAACCTTTGTAAGCTTATCAATCAAATCCCCATAATCCGGGTTGTCCGCCAACTTTGGATTTTCTAACAAAATGCCATGAACAGAATCCAATACAGCTTTTCTTTCTTGCCACTTCTTACTAGCCAATTGAGTGTCTAAATCACCCGGAAGTTTTGGAATAATGTCAACAGGGTCCAAAAGTTCAAAAGGATCAATTTGCTGTGGTTGTGGTTCGGGGACACTTTGTTGTTGATGATTTGTGTTTGTAGATATTTGCTGTTGACATTGTTGAGAGGATGCTGCAGAAGCAAAATTATTCTCGGAGGCTTGCTGAAAATGAACAATTGAAAGGAAAAGGAGAAAGTATAAAAACCTTTTGACTTTCAGCTTCAACGACAGCCTTTTCACGATATTCAGCAATCTAGAATGTTGTTGAAAAATATAAATTTTATTTAAACAAACCTTTGACATCTTTGTGGAATCTTTAACAATTTCAGCACCTAGGAAAACTGCAAGTGCACTTTCACCGATACATTTTTGTATAGCACCCAAAGCAGCACACGAGGCATCACGAACCTCAGGATCGGAGTCAGAGGCATGCTGGAGAAAAATTGTGAATGAAAATTTTTGGGTTCTTTTTCAGGAGGGTTATGTCCTATCCAACGAACTTTTAACAGTATAAACTTACATTAGTCAATGACGCAACCAAATCCTTTAAAAGTCCTTTAGGAATATCCTTGCTGTTAAGCGACCGAAATGTTCTGTAGATGAAATGATCAAGTTGAGATTTCTGGCTTGGATTGGGCTTCTTAGCAGCTTCCAAAATACTGGCTGTGAGATTGTTTAAATTCTAAATAAAAGAAAAAGATAAGGTAACAAAAATCTAAATAATAACCGTGGTAGCAAAAACAGCGTCAATTAATTCAATCAAAGGATCACGAAGATGAGGCTTCTTCTCTTTAAACTTTTCAAATATAATTGGAGATAATGAAGCTGTATGAGGTCCAAATTTGTTGCGCAATCCTTTAGCCATTCCTGTAAGACATTTAGCAGCAACAGCAGCACAATTAATATTTGCGTCAGATTTGAGAACCTTCAAAAATATTATAAGCCAAAAATAGTTTAAAAACCTTTGTAAGCTTATCAATCAAATCTCCACAATCTGGGTTATCAACCAATTTTGGATTTTTCAACAAAATTTCGTGAACAGCATCTAATGTAGTTTTACGTTCCTGCCACTTTTTACTTGCCAAATTTGTGTCTAAATCAGCAGGAAGTTTTGGAATAATGTCAACAGGTTCCAAAAGTTCAAAAGGATCCATATCTTTAAAATAGATTTTCTGCTAGAATAAAATATAAAAAATAAAATTTCAAAAAATAAGCGAGAAAAAACAAATATATCTTTTATCGATTTACTTGCCAAGGACAAATTTATGAGAATTAGCGGCGCAAAAAAACTAGGGCAAAATTTACAAGAGGTTAAAATTTACTTCTTTAAAGTTCCGCGATTATATGACTCGAAGGACGATTAGACGCGAGCTCTTAGAAGTAGCCTATTTAATCGCGGTCACTTAAACGCACTTAGGGCGTGCAATTGTTCTATAAAGTGCGCGGGAATCTGGCACATTTCATGGGCTATTCTTTGGGGGTCTCGTATTTTTTTTCTGTAAGAACAGATTGTAGATGCCAATGTGTTTACTTAAATCTTGACAAAATTATTTTTATCAATTTTAACAATTTAACTTTTTACCACAATGAAACTTGCGGAATTTTTTTCGTTTAAATTTTTTGGGGTTTTTAATGGAGAAAATTTTTGTTTTTTAAATTTTTTTTCTATTTTTGATTCTTTAACTTCACCCCCATAACATTATCTAATTTCTCTTAAGAAAGTGATAAGAATAAGAAACACCCATTTTATAAGAAACACCATTTCTCATTTAAGTTTTATTCTCGAAGTATATTGATTTTATTTGCAGTTTTCGGTCATTCATTTCATATATATTTTTGATTATATATTAAATATGTACATTTATAGAAATTAGTTTCCTTTTATTAAATTGATCAATCAAAACTTTTTTCTTCGTGTCTTTAAATATTTTAGATTTCTAAAGAAAATTTTTTTGAAATTAATTTTGAATAAAACTAATGATAGTGGATTCTCCAACTCCTCCTCAAACTCAGGTATAATTTAGAAATAAACCAAAATAATATCTTTCAAAAATTCAGGATGTCTCTTTATTTAGAAGGCCAAAAGTTTATATTATTGGTGTTGGAATGACAGCGGTATTTTATTTTTAAGAATCTTTTATTTCTAAATTGAATCATTTTCAGTTCACAAAGCCGCTTACATCTGGCAAGGATTATCCAGAATTGGTTAAAGAAGCAGGTAACTTTTTTTAACTTTGTTTTAACCAAGCCTCCTTATAAATCGCCCTCGGGGTAGAAGAAACAATTTTATAAGGAGGTATTTTTTAAATTGGGTGTAGCTCGTAATGAGGTTTCTCTTAGATAGAGGGTATTTTATGGTTAGGTTTCTCTTAAATAGGGGTATCTTATACATAATTTGTTTTTTTTTTTTAAATTTTTTTCTTAATTCTAAAAATAATTTTTTAGTTGGCGAAGCTTTGAGTGATGCTGGTGTAAGATATGAACAAATTCAACAAGGTTTGGGCTTTGAAGCTATTTTTAACAATAAAAAATTAATTTTTAAAGCAACCGCTTCCTACATGTATGGAGGATCTTGTTGCGGTCAAAGAGCATTATATGAAATCGGATTGACAGGAATACCTATATTTAATGTTTTTTTTGTTTAAAAAATTTTTTAGAAATATTTTTTATTCAAGTTAAATAATGCCTGTGCAAGTAGTTCCAGTGGAATATTTCTTTGTAAACAAATTATAGAAAGTGGAAATATTGATTTAATGCTTGCTGTTGGGTTTGAAAAGGTTTTCCTTTTAAAATTTTATGGAGGCGGATCTCTTTATAAGATTCACCTTAATATTGAATACACCTCTATTTTAGAGACGCTTTTTAAAAATAAGGTTGGCCACTTGCTCTGAGGAAGCTGCCTAACCGATTTTTATTTAAGATACCTCATTATAATAGGGTGCAGATATCGATATCAGACTGTTTATACTTAAAATCGGGAGATAAGCCGAGGTCCTCACATCTTAATTTTTATGGATACAGAGGCAAGAATAGAACATTTTTCAGTGTTTCTTAGTGTTTACTTTACTTGGCTTATTGATCTGGTTGGGCCAAAATCAATTTAGGTCACGATTTCTTTTAATTTCCGATCCCTCTTAAAATCTCAATAAAACTTCCTCAAAAAATCAATTTAAGAAAAGATATTTAATATTTAAGAAAAAACTTTCAAAAATTGTTAACCTTTATTCGGAAATCCTTTTCCAAACCCAATATTTTTGTATTGAGTTTTAATCTTAAAATTAAACTAAAATAATCTAAAATAAAAAAAACTTCCAAATGTTGACCATTTGAAGAAATACAATCAATTTCTGCCCCATAAAATAAATTAAATTTATTTAAATTTGAAGAATTTGATAAATTTGAGGGAGGATTGAGAGTTGCTTAAAAATTAAAAACTTCTAAATAATTGAAAGAGTTTTTGATATAAAAGGGAAGGATAGGAGAGAAATCTGGATTATCGAAATTTTAGAGATATCGAGACAAGATTTGAGGGAGGAATGTAGGAACCTTTTTCGAGGTTGTCTTTTTAAATTTTTTATAAAGCAGACACGTAGCCAGGATTTTTTTCGTGGGGTGTCAAGGGTGAAAATTTTAATGAGCAAATTTTGACTTTTAGCGCCAAAGCGAAAATTCTGAAAAATTTGGAAGGCTGCTTTACCTGAAAGTAAATCGGCTGTGGTGTAGTGTACCGGTGGTAAGAGTTCGGGACGAGACATATGTCATTCGATTCGTCTCGGCGAGCTGAGTCGAACGGTACCACTCCCAGTTTCAGGAAATGATTCTGGACCGAGTTATAGGTCCCGAAAAATCGAAAAATCAAAGGGGGGACCAAGCACTTTTTTGGGGTGAAAAATTCGAATATGCAAATTATAACTCATTTGAAAGAGCTCTTCAAGCTGAGTCGAATGACACCAAAATCAACGAAATCCGACTTGATTGGACTGAGATACAGACCCCTAAAAATCGAAGATCCAAAGGGGCGATTTTTGGAATAAAAATTTTTTATACAAATAATACCTCATTCGAAAGAGCTCGACGAGCTGAGTCAAATGACACCAAAATCACCGTGATTGAACAAGATTAGACAAAGTTATGATACCAAAAACAAAAACCTAAACCTATGGAGCGTCGGCGAGGCGCTTGTGCAAAACCCCGCGCTTCGCGCGGGGTTTTGCGGCACGCGCCTCGCGGGGAGTCTACGGGCGCTGGGTCTGGGCTCGTAACATACGCCTATTCCTATCTCCCTTGCTCTGGACGTATTTGTGGCCTCCGTAGCAGCAAAAAACTTCACAGATGCCATAGGTAAGGAGCTAAAATAAAAGATCATAACTTTGTCCAATCAAGTCGGATTTCGTTGATTTTGGTGTCATTCGACTCAGCTTGAAGAGCTCTTTCAAATGAGGTATAATTTGCATATTCGAATTTTTCACCCCAAAAAAGTGCTTGGTCCCCCCTTTGGTTTTTCGATTTTTCGGGACCTATAACTCGGTCCAGAATCATTTCCTGAAATTGAGAGTGGTACCGTTCGACTCAGCTCGCCGAGACGAATCGAATGACATATGTCTCGTCCCGAACTTTTACCTCCGGTGAACTACACTACAGCCGGAATAGGTTTATGTTACAAGCCCAGACCCATCGCCCGTAGATTCCCCGCGAGGCGCGTGCCGCAAAACCCCGCGCGAAGCGCGGGTCCTAAATCGAGCTTACTCCCCCTATGGTTTTTCAATTTTTCGGGACCTATAACTCGGTCCAGAATCATTTCCTAAAGTAGGGAGTGGTACCATTCGACTCAGCTCGTCGAGACGACATATGTCACGTCCCGAACTTTTACCACCGGTACACTACACTATATCCAGTAAATCAGCTGAACCCATCCCAAAAAATAGCAAAAATTTAATAAGTAATTATTTTTTCAATGGTTATCCAATAAAAAATATTTTAAAAATATTTTAAAAATATTTTTGTCGGTAATTTTTGCCTATTTTCTCAAATAAAGTACCGGATCATTGATTCAAAAAAGGCAGAGCTGGTACCTATGGCCATAAATAAAGATTTGTAACATATCTTTAAGTCTAACCATTTTTCCACCTGTGGAAGGAAAGAAGAGGGGAGGTACGAAGTTCAATTTTACCACCGTTTTATCTTTTAGAAAGGAAAATATAAAATAATTGATATTTAGCTCAATATGACTGGTACAATCTTTTTAATAACAAAAATTCTTCAGAAATGACCGAAATATTAAATTCCATAATAACCCAATCAATTAAAAAATTCATCCCGTAAAAAAATAGGAAAAATTCCGTCATATCACCCGGAAACCGATTCGGACAAATGATATGTCATTTGAAAGAACTCGCCGAGCTGAGTCGAAAGAAACCAAAATTAGCTTCGGGACTCACCTATGGGACGAGATATAGGCCCCCGAAAATCGAAAACCCATAGGGGGGAGTAAGCTCAAATTTGGGATGAAAAATTCGATTTTTTGAATGATAGCTCATTCGAAAGAGCTCCTTGAGCTGAGTCGAATGACACCAAAATCAGCTCGAGATCTTGATTCTGAGCCGAGATAAAGAGGCTCAAAATGGTCAACGTAAACCTATGGGGCGTCGGCGAGGCGCTTGTGCAAAACTCCGCGCTTCGCGCGGAGTTTTGCGGCACGCGCCTCGCGGGGAGTCTACGGGCTCCGGGTCTGGGTTCGTAACCTAATCCTATTCCAATTATCGCCGTGATGGGCATGCCCGGCTTCCTCCGCAACAGTAAAAACTCCACGGATGGCATAGGTAAGGAGCTAAAAAATTCGATCATAACTTTGTCCAATCTTGTTAGATCGCGATGATTTTGGTGTCATTCGACTTAGTTCGACGAGCTCTTCCGAATGAGGTATTATTTGCATATTCGAATTTTTCACCCCAAAATTGAGCTTACTCCCCCCTATGGTTTTTCGATTTTCGGGGACCTATATCTCGGCCCATAGGTGAGTCCCGAAGCTAATTTTGGTGTCGTTCGACTCAGCTCGACGAGATCTTTCGAATAACATATCATTTGTCCGAATCGGTTTCCGGGTGATATGACGGAATTTTACCAAAAAATAAATAAAATTATTAAAATAATTTAT